AAAAATATACAAAAAAGCAAGCCCTTTGAAAATAAGGATGCATAAAGGCGCACTCATATTTTATAATTGTATTTATCAATACGATACGCTATATATATATATAAATATATATATAAATATATATACACACTAAGTAATATTCGTAAATACATAAACATTAAAATAATTGAAAAACGACTGTGATATCGAACGATCTTGTGACATTCAATTCCCATGCGAATTGATAAATGAACAATTTAACGAGATACAAATATTAAATGTATGAATTAATCGGTATTGAATGTCAAGAATGCGTAAGCTCAGTTTATTTGAGCCGAGGAATGGGAATCTTAAGTCGTTAAAAAGTGAATAGAGAACATCCAAGAACAACGTGGCTGTTGTCCGATCGGGGAGGGCTGAACGCTAGCCTCTTACAGTCCTGAAAACACGTTTTTTCGGGCATTGTTTCTACTTAAAAGGAAAAAGAAAAAAAAAAAAACACAAAAGAAAAAAAAAGGAAAAAAAAAAACGCGCATTAATAATAGATAATAAACGGCGGAACGCGTCATTACTGGTTGATGATGTTGGTAGGGCTTTATAGAATGTCGATATCTTTTGTGCAAACGTGTCGGATTCTTACCTAATCTATGTGAGAAAAAGTACAAATTCAATTTGCGTGACAACTGACAGGATTTTTAGACATGTCATACTTATACCTGTTATATTAATAGATTTATAGTGCAATCGCGTGCGTGAATCGTATGCCGTGTGACAGTGGACCAAGAGTGTGAATGCCTCTTTCACAGGGGGGACAATTATTTTCAACTTAGAAACTTTCAAATAGTGTTATTAACGAGTAATAATTGTTGGCTTCCGACCATAGTGCGTGTGATTTCAAATTCTAATATTGATTGATTTGATCGTCGAGTCCCGTTTGTCAACTCGGAGGCCCTGCCAAGAACATTACAAGATGAATTCACAACGAAAAGTGAAATCGATCACTTTTCCGTTTAATATATAGTGTACAATTTATCACGGCACAATTGTTTAGTTGAATGTTAGTTTATTTAAGAGGAAGTTGATCATGCCGTACTATTACTATTATTATTATTATTATTATTATTATTAGTAG